TGAGTAAGAGAATCCTTTTTTACTATACTCAAATTTTTTTATTCAGCCGAATGATAATTTATTTTTCGGGAATTTATAAGAGGGACAAACAAATAGGAAGGGATGGTTCTTTCATTAACGGTTCGATGTTCGATTAGGGGAAAAATCATTTAAATATCGATTCGTTTACTAACAAGTTGAGTTCAACTTAAACCTTATTCATTCGAGAGGCTCGTGAGCCAACTTGACTCAATGGCTTGTTGAGTTCAACTCGTTAACTATCTTGTTTTAAGCTAATGGGATGTCTCAACGTTGCGGCTAATGAGCTAATACAACTATCAACTTATAAGCAAATCGATCTATATTTATGAGTTGACTTCTTGATAATTCATAAGCTTGTTAAATTGTATATTTCACCACGTATGATGTTTAAGAACTTTGAATATGTGAGAAAATATGTCTCACTTATAATTTAAAAGATGAATTATGTATCATGGACTGTTTAGATAGTAATTACTATGAGATTACATTATATGAACTTAAAATTTAGGCCAAATATATTTGTGTAGCTAAAATTTTGACGGTTTTGCCAAATATAGCTACTTTTGGCGAAATACCAAAAATAGCCAAAAATTTGAAAGTTTGATGACAATAATAGCCATTTCCGTTACATAGTTTGACGGCGTCAGTGACACCGTTAGTCGAATTAACGGAATGATGATATGACTGCCAACTCACCTTACACATCATCGACAACTCACCAATACTTGCCACATAGATGCCATGTCATATTTTAATTTAAAAACAAAATGGAAAATCACAAATGAAAAATCATAAAAATACAATAATCGAATTTTCTTTTCCAGCCTCGTCCACCGAACTGCTCGCCATAGCTGGAGGATTTCAACCACTGCAATATGCCAAAAGGAAAAAGACAGAAACTTTAGAACTGGGTTCAGCCGCCAACTCATCGCTTTGGATGCTGCCGGTATGATCTGGGTTCCGCACCTTTAGATCTGGGTTCATTCCTCCCCTAGCTCTCTCTCCGGTGATCATGCCTGGAGCGGCTCAGTAGATGGAGTTTCCGACATAGAGAACGAAAGAAGCGAGAAGACACAACACACACAAATGAGCCAATCACATCCAAAATTCCAGGCCGTGGGAAGTTGAAAGCCTGAATAATGAAGAGATAAAGCAATGACGGAGCCTCATCCACACACTCCTCACTTTGGGCAGTGTCCATCCGTCGAACCGAATCCCTAAAAGTTTACTCTCCACACAATCCAGGCTGCGAAAGAGCACGATCCGCCATTTTCCACAGAGATGAGTAGTTCTTGTGCATCCTCCGCCGCGACCGTCGTCGGCCTTTTGTCCGCACCGCGCCCCTACGCTACTCTGCTACCTCCCTCGCTCGCTCTCCTTATCACGATGACAACCGCCATCGGCGCCAGATGGAGGAGGAGGCAGCCGGTCTGCTGCGAAGTGGCGGTCCGATCGTCGATCGATTCGGCGATGTCGTCTGAGCATAGGATCAGAGCGAGGGTGTGGGTGACGGAGGAATCCAGAAAACAAAGGTTGCAAGTTGAATCGAGGCAATGAAGCGTGAGATCTGAACACCCTAGACTGACTGAGAGAGAAGAGGGGAATGGCGGAAGGTTCTCCAACTTTGGAGAAAGTCCAGGGGTCACGACCGAAAAGATATTTAATCTGAGGGTGTTGAGAGGGGATCTGTTTTCTGCGGGAGAAGCCATCATCGTCTGCATCTCACCAAGGAGCTGGTAGAACCGGCTCCACACAAGGAGCTTTTGATAAGAATCCCGGGCGCCATAGCCCAATTGATCGAGAAAGACGAGGCTTAGGGTTCCTCCCGGGAGTGAAGACTTCAACGACGAAGAGGAGGAATCGAAGGAAGAGGGAATCAGTTCGAAGGGAAGGAGTCGAAGTAAGAGGTACCGAAAGAAGAGGGGGGAGTTTTTTCGCCAGCGGTGAATGGGGATTCTCGATTAGTTGTACAAGGGATAAGGGGGAGAAGATGGGATTGGAGAAGATGAGCAAGAGAGGGAGACTTTTCATTTCCATTTTTGGTTTTATTTTTTATATTTTAAAGTTAAATCCACATGGTATTGTTATTTACGAAATGTTGCCACGTTAGCTTTTCCGTTAGTTCATTCAGCACGTTAACCAACACCGTCAAACAATTGGACGGAAGTGGCTATTTTTGGTATTTCGCCAAAAGTGGCTATATTTGGCAAAACCGTCAAAGTTTTGGCTACACAAGTGTATTTGGCCTAAAATTTATGAAATAATAAAATACCAATATAGTATATGGACACGAGATCAATTTATCACATGCATCAAACATAACATACTAATATTAGGGTATTTAATTTATAAATTATTATTGAGTTTAGTTTAAGTATTCAACTATTTGCGTTAAACTCATGCCAAACTTGTGATCTTAATGATGAATCAAGGTTTTAATAAATGAGTCGGCTCGAACTCAACTCGGATCAACTAGTTAATAAACGAACTGAATTCGAGTTTAGCTAATTTATTAAAAAACTAAATTCAAAGTAGACGCGACTCGATTCAACTCGACTCGACTTGACTCATTAGCCATTTGATTGTGGACACTCATAGAGTAAAGTAGAACCCGTAAACAAATGGGCTGCTGCTGATAAATGCTAATATTCTTGCTGTTCTTTGCTCTTAAGCTGGGCCAAAATTGGTTAGAATTATAGTTTGCCTTTGGGCTTTTCGGCGGCGGCGATGGCTGTGACTGGTTCCTCAATAATTGTCTCCACTGCTGAAGCTTTGAAATGAAACTATGATTTTCCCAACAACAAGAAAACTGAAACCAAGATCTGCAGCAGGGTAGAGAACCGAAGGATGAAGGGTTGAATGTAAATGGGAAAACCGAATTCTTATTTTTCAATCAAACTTCAACACGATATATTTGCTGAAGGTTGTCGACTTTGAGTTGACTGGATACTAAATCGGTATATCTAATGCACTTTGAGTTGAGTGTGGTCCTTGGATGAGCTAATATCAACGAATGTATGAGGTCCTAAATTTAAAATATCATACTAAATTCATGTATCTTAAAAGTTTTGTTGCTCCATTTTTTATCAAGTAGAATCCTCGGACTTGTCGAGTATGTTTGTTGGTTTGGTGGTTAACTATTAAAATAAACACTAATAAAATAATTTATCAATTAGTTATCGATAGAAGTTATCCGTGGGTTTAGTGGTTAACTACGAAGCTAACCACTAAACCGAATTAGCAGCCCTAGATTTATCAGCTCAACCACGTACGTCATTTCCTTTGGGTAAAGGAAGAGACTACTCCCCTAGCCCTAGTTAATGATTTATGTACACAAAGGGGACTGACTGCCCCTTGGTGTTGCCTTTAACACTCAATCAATCAGAATAATTAAAACAGTAACAGCTCCGACGTAATCAAAATCTGGATCTGGACACTCCAGTTCTGGAGCAGACAATAATTAATTAATTATAAAGTGATAAGAATTAACCCTCAGAACAATCAAAGACCCGCATCTGTCCGTTCACATTGTGGATGAGTGGGGCCCCTCGTGTCCTCCACTTTCTTGTGGACCAAGAATGATAACTGACTGACTGTTGTTATTGTGGTCAAACTGAACAAAGACAGTCGGAAGGAATTGTCAAACCCACACCATCATCAACATAATACGTCGAAATGGAGAGGTATGAGCATTACTACGTCGGATTCCATAAGAACTTCCAAGATAAAAGTATTTGGATAAACATTGTGCTAGGATGGATGACCTACACAATAATAATAAGATAATAACTCTAGTTCTAACTTGTGCTTTATTCTTTTCCGCGAGAAAAACATATTAGTTGTGAGATTAAGGATTATTGACACAAATATTGTTTTTTTTTTAAATTACCACTAATATTGCGGATTAAATAGTATTGGCGAAAATATTGTGTTTTTAACAGAGTTTTAGGTGCTGGTGCCTTAGACTAAGGCGCCCCGACCTTAGCCGTTTTTCTTCTAACTGGCCTAGGTGTTGGCGCCAGAGACTAAAGCGCCCCCACCCCACTCCATTTTATTTTAAAAAACCCGACCCCCACCCACAACCTTATCTTATCTTTTCTTTCCTTCCTCCTCCTCCACACAACCCCTCCTTCCTTCCTCTCCCGACCAGCCTCCTCCTCCCCTCCCACCCACAGCCCTTCCTCTCCCGACCAGCCTCCTCTTCTCTCCGCCGTCGCTGCTACTCCCACCAGGAGCGAGCCCGCCCCAGTGCCAGGCGCCGCCGCCGCTCTGCCAGGTCCCGCCGCCGCTGAACAAAGCGAGAGGGCCCCAGTGCCAGGCCCCGCCGCCGCTGTGCCTGCCGCCGCCGCCCCAGAGTCCGTCGCCGCCGCAGCCAGCAGCAGCGTCGCCGCCCGGAGATGTCCTCCTATGAAGAAGAAGTCGCCGCCGGCAGAGGCAGGGGGAGAGGCCGGCGAGGTCGTGGAGGCCGTTTGCGCGGTGAGACTCTCGTCGGTGGCTTGAATATTTTTTTTAATGGTTTGTGTTTTTTTTGTAATGGTTTGTTGCTTTGTTTTTGCAGTTCCTAGGCTTATGGATCCTTATTCGATGAGATTACCGCCGGCGACAATTGATACAGGTCCGGTCGATGCGATATTTCTTTGGGGACATGGCCAACATCGTATCGACTCTGTTTGGACAAACGAGGTAAGTATTTGATAATTATTCATGTAAAGTTAATTAGCTAATTAGATTATTTTAGTTGGTGAACTGTACTGTTAGAATTAATTAGTATAATTTGATATTAGATTAGATAGATTAGAATTAATTAGGTGAAATTAGAATTATTACGAATGAAGATGAATTAATATAAGTTTTGTGCACTATAGGCTGGTGATCGATCTTACCATGTTAGAGGTACGACCATTTTAGTACCTTACCGTGAGCTTTATCGGCCATATCTCGAAGTGGCAGGCTTGTTAAGTGTCGTGCCCCTAGTCCCTATGAACCCCGATGCGAGTTTGATTACTGCGCTCGTAGAGCGGTGGCGACCCGAGACGTCGACCTTCCATCTACCGTGTGGTGAGATCACGATCACGTTAGAGGACGTTGTTACACTGTCCGGTTTGGCGATCGACGGTGATGCCGTCGTAGTTGATATACCGGATGAGGAGTGGTCGGCGATCTGTTTGAGACTGTTAGGACGGGTTCCGGTTGATCTTGTAGGCGGGGTCGCTGTTGTTAGGATTGTTTGGCTGAGGGTTGAATTCAGTCATCTGCCGGAAGATGCATCACAGGAGGTTATAGACCAGTTTGCACGAGCTTATGCTCTATCTCTGATTGGAGGTGTACTTTTCCCGGATCGGTCTGGATCTACGGTGCACCTACAGTACCTACTTCTGATTGAGGATTGGGAGAGGGCTGGAGGGTTCGCCTGGGGAGCTGCTGTTTTATCCTACCTGTACCGTGAGATGGGTAGGTCGACTTTGCACATTTCGCATACCGACACTTCTCTAGCCGGTGACCTTGGTGGATGGGTCGCCCTACTGCAGTTCTGGGCGTGGGAGCGATTCCCACATCTGGCACCTCGAGATTCAGAGACGAGGGCACAGGCCACCGAGGATGCACATCCACGTGGTCTTCGATGGCTTTCGGCCAGCAGTCGTCAGTATGGTGACCAGCTATTCCAGTACAAGCTGTGGTTTGACGCAATGGACACCGTGGTGGTTAGTACATAACATTCCATTTTATAGAATAGTTTTCATTTGTTTTATTTTTTTAGATTTAGGGATAATAACGTTAAATTTTTGCTATGTAGTGGCAACCTTACCGTGAGAGAGCACTTCATCTCAGAGGTAGTGTGATACAGTCTTAGACATTTCGAGCAGTAGTGCCACTTATCTGCTTTTCATCGGTGATGTGGCATCATCCAGACCGCGTGCTCCGGCAGTTTGGCATGAGGCAGCATGAGCCTCATCAGCCACATCCTGTGAGTGAGGTTAGGTTTTTTCTTCGCCAGGCTACTCGTGGGCCATCGCGTGGGCAGCAGTTGGTACACGCCTCCAGAGAGTCGCTTGATTTTTGGAACCGTTGACACGAGTTTGTAGCGACATCTTCATACACTGATGAGGAGTTAGCCTACCACTCGGAGCATATGGAGTGGTATAGAGATGTCACCAGACGTTCCGACACACGGAGAGGAGCTGTAGCGGAGGCATTGGTTAGTTATTTGATTTGTTTGCTTAATTTGTTGTTAACTGTGTGAAATATCTGACATTTTTCTCGTGTTTTTTAGTACGACACTATCGAGCATGCTGAGGTGAGTTTGCGTGACGGTGGGAGGGCTGGAGGGCTGACCCCTCGACTCCCAACCTGTGGGACAGCCTAGAGGGTGATCACGTTTTTCAGGAGACGATGTGGAACTATGAGCAGAATCTGCAGTCTCAGCAGCATGGTGGCGGTGCGCCTGAGGAGCATCTTCAGTCTCAGCAGGATGATCTGTTCGGTACACAGGATCAAGATGGTGGTGACGAGGAAGATCATTCCCAGGCGTATGATGGTCGACCTATGCGTAACAGGGTGGCTGCGAGGTGTGGTACTGGCGGCCATCTAGTGGTGGAGCATGGTGGTCGTCGTGGTGGTCGCCGGTGAGACTATTATGTAGTTTGCTTATTTTTGGATTGTTATTATGTACTTCCTTTACACTATTATGTGTGGACTATTATGTTTGGATTATTATGTAGTTTCTATTATGTTTGGACTATATATGATTATGTTATTATTTTATTAACGATAAAAACCATAACTACAACAACTTCAAACAACAACTTCTACATGATTATTCGAAGGAAATACAACAACTACATACCAAACTACAACAACTTCATACCAAACTACAACAACTTCTACAGGATTATTCGAAGGAAATACAACAACTACTACATTTGAACAAACTTCTCAGCCACGTCTATTACCTCTACTTCCTCTTCTACCACCTCTCGCACTTGGTTGGCCACCACTCCCTCTGCGTTTGCTCCCATTCCCACTAGCTTGACCACCGCAGGTTGATGCATTATGTCCCGCTTGGTTACAGTTGCTACACACTTGGTGTGATGCACCCTCCCTTGGCCAATCCATCTCGTTGTGAATCCTTGTAACTCGTGGCCTCCCCGGCTTCCTAAGCATGTGCACATTAGGATGGAGAGTAGGACCATTATGCTTCTTCCAACCCTTAGGTTCACCAAGAGGTGCGAAACTTGTCCCATAACAAGCCATCACTGTTTCCAGCTTGTAGACATTGTTTACAAACCTATACGCATTAGCCCCATTCGGTTGCAAGCTGCAATGGCATGAGAGCAAGGAATTTTATTTCCTTGAAATTTACCACAGGTGCAAAATCCCTCCCGGTTTTGGTCGTCAAAGTGCACTGTGAGTGTGTTTGACCCCGTCATGTTGAAATTGTTGGGGGGAGTCAGAACTACATAGATGCCTTGACTCCGATCAAGAGCTGTCACAGAATGTCCAACTTCCTTTTGTGACCTGTACTTCATCAGCTCTTCGCACTTGGTGGAGTACTGTGAAGGACCACTTCTAATTTCTGCTCCTGTCTCCAACCTGTACTTATCGAATTTCTCCACCAATCGCCAATAGGTATGTTGCACAAGAGAAGCTATAGGAAGTGCACGAATACCTTTGAAAACACCATTGATGCTTTCTGCCATGTTGGATGTCAGCATAGACCAACGACGCCCACCGTTCTAGTTATCATGTGCTAAACTCCAACGAATCTGATGTTGATCCACCCAGTTATCACATGAAATATTTATATCACTGGCCACCTTCTTAAATTTCTCAACTTGTCGATCGAACTTCTCCAACCGTTTTTCTCCAGCTAACAAAATAAACAACCACACGGGTTAGATAAATTTATGACAAAATTACATGAAAATAAATAACCTGAAAATAAATAACATAATTAAATGAAGAAGGCTTACCAACTCGAAATAGTTGCTTATACATAATTCTGCTTTTAGTCTTCCTTTGCAAATTGCTTGCATAGTGTCGCAAGCACCACCTCCACTCCCAACCTCTTCCGATGTTATTCATGGCTTCATAGAGTCCTGCATGTCTATCTGAGATGATGCATACATCATTTTGATCAGTCAAACCCTGAACGTTCCTTATGAACCATGGCCAACTCTCAGTATTCTCGCTCTCCACTATGGCAAATGCAATTGGAAAAATTTTCTTCCGACCATCAAATGAGCTCGCCATGAGTAGCACTCCTTTATACTTCCCAGTAAGAAATGTTCCATCAACAACCATGACGCCCGGACAATTCTTGAATCCATCTATACAAGGTCCATAAGCCCAGAATACTCGCTGAAATATCGAATGACCTGGTTGAGTCGAAGGAACTCTTACCCAATCAATCACCGACGTTGCCATTTTTCTCTTGACTACCCGCAAGAATGTCTGCAAAAAATCGTAGGATTCTTCCCAATTTCCAAGCAACTTCTCCAATGCTCTTTGTTTCCCATACCAAGCCTTCTTGTAAGTAACTTGCATATTAAACTTATCTTTCAACTCAGCTTGCACAGTTAGAACACTCAGATTTGGTTGGGCACGTACCAAATGTTTGACGGCCTCAGATATCATGTCGACATCAAGATGACGATGATCCATCAGTTGAGTCGTACTGCTACAAGAATGCACCAACTCAGCCTTTCTCACAATCCATTCGCCTCCAGCATCTCGACATCCAAACCGCACCATCCAAGGACAATTGTCATCCTTGTGCCTCAAGCATCTGACCTTCCAGATTGACGGTGACGACTCCACCACGCCATATTGAAAGTTGCGTTGTAGTGCGTGGTGTTTAATCGCCATCTGTGCAGCTTGTTTCGAGTGAAATATCTGCCCCTTGTAGAATTTTCCTTCAAAACTATCAACAATAGGCATTGGAATTACGCCATATGAATCAACAATTGAGTATTCTTCGTCCTCTTCATTACCCTGCAAGTAAAAATATGGAGGATAATTAGGCACTCCTTCCCCCTCTTCCTCCTCCTCATCCTCCTCCTCCTCATCTTCCTCCTCTCCGTCATCACCGTCATCATAGGCATGATCGGATGGCACGCTCCATGTATCATCTTCTTCCTCCCTGATCCTCACTGAGTTCAACATGTATCTCAGCACCCAAACAATAAGGATTTTGTGCCATAAAATTCCAAAGCACATTCAAGCTATCATCATCCACAATAGGCATTGCATAATGAAATAAAACACCATTCTGCCATTCTGGAAGACGGTAAGTGAAACCTGTGATCACATCACTATCTTGTACTGCTTCGTCTCTACGCCGTATTCTCGGAATTAGATTCTCACAAAGATAATGATATGTGACCCTGGATGGAATCGTCATCTGAAAACTACTACCACCAACGAATTTGACGCCCAAATTATCTTCTACTTTCTCCGATTTCCATCGAACGACTAGTTCAAATCTTCTAAAATCACTACAAAAAAACAGACTCACTAATTAATACTAAACACAATCATAATAGCATTTGAATAATATAATTACAAAAATAAATGTGTCTCTTACCTATTAGCCTTTTTTGCAGCAGCAACCAGAGCTCTCTCCTTTGTTTTGGACGATTTTTTTGTGGTGTGAAACTGAAACGAAATTGGCTGGTTTATATAGGGAGGGGGGTGGCCACCTAACTCGCTCATGTCTCAGGCGGCGCCACCTTAGTCTCGGGCGCCGCCGCCTGGGACAATTTCCTACCTAACACGCTGTTGTCTCAGGCGGTGCTGCCTGAGTCTTGGGCGCCGCCGCTGTATCTTAACATAAAACGATCCAAATGTCATCCACAGCGGCGGCGCCTGAGTCCCAGGTGTTGTCGCCATTTTTTGTCTCCAAAACACAATATCTGTGTAAATACTTCTTAATCCGCCATATTGGTGGTAAATTAAAAAAAAACAATATTTGTGTCATTAATCCTGAGATTAAAGGATTTTTTTGTTTTCCTATTTTTTGAATTGATTTGTAGCTTCTTTGTTGGTCTAACCGCTGGGCGGGGCGCGGTTTTCTATGCAAACCGCGGGGCTAAGGGGCGGCTATAAAAAAAATATTGGACCAAACCGCTGGGTGGGGTGGCGGTCGGTTTGGTCCAATTTTTTTTTTCTCGATCAACTCCTAACTTCGGCCGAAACTTCAAACGAACGTAACTTTGCACTTGGGTATCCGATCGTAGCGATTTTTTTTTCATTTCGCATAACTTTTCAAGATCTACAACTGTTACTATGATGAAATTTTCAAAACAGGAATTAGTTGTGGATATACGGGACATTGAGAATAACTTTACCTTTACTTTTCACAAATCCATGTACCTTTTGAAATTTTGATTATCTTGAAAGTTGTAGATCTTGGAAATTCTATGCGGAATCGAATAAAAAATTCATGACGTTCGGATTTTCGAGCACAAAGTTATGGCCGCCCAAAGTTTTGGGCCAAACCGCCACCCCACCCAGCGGTTTGGTCCAATTTTTTTTTTATATAACCGCCCCTTAGCCCCGCGGTTTGCATAGAAAATCGAGCCCCCGGCCAGCGGTTTTCGTGTAAACCGCAGGGTGGGGGTGGCGGTTTTTGAAAAAGGGTGGTATTTTTGGAATTTTTTGGGGTTGGATGGTATTTTTGGAATTCTTTTTTTAAACAGTGGTACTTTTGGATTTTTCTCCCACTTGTTCCCACCATACTCTATACCATTTTCGTTTTCACACAATTTTTTTCCCCTAGAAGGATCGAATTCATCGAGATCTATTGAATCTACAAATTTATGGGGAGAATTTTAAGGCCAAATATACCACTTTGCTATAATGTGTTAATTAATGGTAGACAGTGATGAAATGTTATAAACCACAATTAGTATATTCTTGCTATAATATATACAATCATTATATACTATTGTATATTCATATTACCATGATAAACTTTCATTCTATCGTGGTATAATTTTATGTACTACTAATCATTATGACCATGATATGAACTCATAATAGATTTCATGTTGTAAAATATATTACTGAGCTACTTTATTATAAGATAGTAGACCATGAAAAACTTCTGATCATAATAATTTCTTTTAGCGTTTAAGTAACCTAATTCTTTTCTAGACAAAAAAATTGAAATACCAAGTAGGGATGGCAATGGGTAGGGTGGGGTGCGGGTTTACCCTATACCAACTCCTAACTCGCCGGGTAGAGCTTTCTAAAATACCCGACCAAATAACCACCGGGTATGAAAATTATATAACCATACCCTACCCACCGGGTAACCACGGGTATTCGGGTAACCATGGGTACGAATCCTATACTATGAATTTATACACATATATGCACATACATATTGTTGTCCATTAAAAAATTCTCAATACTTGTAACTATTCTAGCTTCAACAATCCACACAAATAAAAGCAACAAACACATAATAATTGTTCTTGCTTCTACAATCCACACAAACATAATAATTGTCTACATCTTCATCATCAATAATGGTAGGTAAACTCAATTTCTCAAGCTAAAATAAATTTCTCAAGGGAAATTGACCCTTTGGTTAGCGGGGCGGGTATTATCGATTACCATACCCGTACCCTACCCTTTATTTTGAAACCGGGTATTACCCGTACCCGTCCCTTAACCCGTCAAAGCAGGTAATTACCCTCGTTGACTGCTTACGGTCGGGTAGGGTACCCATGATTATGGGTTGGATTGACATCCCTAATACCAAGTTAAAACGATCAAAATATAATTTGTTAAAAAACAAAATATCATTTGTTAGAAATGAATAGGGAAGGGTTATACAGAAGGAGCGGACAGGATGCTGATATAATTGATTAAGAATTTTTGCAAATCACAATTTTGATCACTAAACTTAATAGATTTTATAAAGTTTATGGTCCAATTTAAGGTACTTGTGATATATTTTATGAGGTTTCTACTTTCTAGTATGATTTAATAAACTTATGACTTGCTTTATAAAGTTTATGATATGCTTTATTAGATATAAGACACTTGCAATATGTTTTAAGAAAATTGTGGTTCATTTTAAGACACTAGTGGCATACTTTATGAGATTTTTACTATACTTCACTTAATTTGTGGTTTCTTTTAAGAAACTTGTGAAGTAGACTAACAAATCGGATGTTAGCAAGCAAGTGTCCTCTTTATTTAGATGATCATTCGTTCCCACATAAGGCTGCAAATGAGCCGAGTCAAGCCAAATTTTGATATGACTTGAGTTCGGCTCGTTAATAAACGAGTCGAAGTTTATACACGACTTGTTTACGAAAATATTGATTTGTGTTTGACTCAAGCTCGACTCGAGTTTGTCTCATTATTGAGCTCGGCTCATCAATTAACTCGCAAAATCGACTTGAGCTCAAATATAATTTCATTTAGTTCATAACTTTAATTGCTCATGTCATGTTATTCAATATTGATTAGTATACGAGAAATTTATTATGCATAATTTCTCTTCTAAGTTCTCTTCTAAATTGATTATGTGCTCAAATGATTAAAGATCATATGTGAGGAGATATACAACATAATAAACGTTTAAAGTATCAACAAACTAATCATAGACTATTAATCAATTTGTTCATAAATTGCTACTTAAGATGACTCGATAGTCATACTTATAAATCAACTCATAACTCAAAATGAGTAATAGAACTATTTGCGATCTATTCACACAATTATTCCCTATGTTTGGCCCGGCTTTTAGAAGTGCTTTTCGGGTTCAAAAGCTGAAGCAGGGCCAAACACCTATAAAAACTTGGCTTTTGAAAAGCCGAAAAGCTCTTTTGTGTAACATAAAAGCAGAAGCTCCGATTTGGAGCTTCTGCGAAAAGCCGTTTTGAAAATATAAGATTATCCTTACCATATTTTAATTTTATTTCAGAAAATATAACTTTCCTTCATTTATATCATTTTAAAAATAAAATAAATTATAAAATCATACTATTTAATATAAAAGAAATCTAACAAGATCCATTTTGACTACTTTTTATTGTTTAGAATTTTTTTATTTATATTTTATAGTATAAGTCCTTTATAGTCATTTTACACAATCTATTACATTAAAAAACACTTCTAATAGTTTTACAGCCAAACACTCAACTGTTTTTTTGAAAAGTACTTATCTAAAAACTCCAGCCAGAAGCTGCTTCTGCAAAAATTACAGGAGGGCCAAACTAAGCTATTGTTTCCTAAAATTCCAGTAAAAACTTCTGGCAAATTAAAAAAAAGAAAAAATTCCAGTAAAAACAAAAGGTTGTATTGCCATTAAAGTGGGAAGAGGTGGCGGCTTGTCTTGTTCTCCCTCGCGTCGACGACGATGCCTTCCCAGAAGCTGCCTTTCCTTTTTTTCGCTTTTCTGTGATTACTGATTACTCCCCTTTGAACCTGAAGAAGAATCAAGAAATAGGGTTCACAGATCAGAGGTCCAAGGTCCAAGCTCTTCCCTTTTTAAACCCATCCTCTCCACCTTCTTCCAGACCCCTCTTCACTCCCTTGACTCTCCTCCTCTCCTCTTATCCCATTTGATATCAATAAAAAAACAACCATTTGGTGTGGGTGGGTGGTTCAATTCCCCCTTCAACACAAAGTCTCTGCTTTCTTTCGTTTACTCAAACCCATTCCTCCTCTGGTCTTTTCAGCCCCCGCCAATCCCCCATGGATGCTCTGCTTCCAGAAATCCCCAACTCCGTCAACCCTTTCAAGTTCCAGCGCGCCACCCAGACTTCCCGCTGCAATCCGCTTGATGGGTACCAACAACTCAATCATGGGTTCCCAGATCCCCCATCTGACTCCCCATCTTCTTCTTCCTCTTCATCATCGTCCCTCTCCCCGTCTGCTTCAGAAGGGGACTACCCAAGCAACAACGCCGTTTTTAAGTACATCAGCGACATGCTCATGGAGGAAGATTTAGATAGTAAGACCTGTATGTACCAGGACTGTTTGGCTCTCCAGGCTGCCGAGAAATCCCTCTACGACGTTCTCGGCCAAGAATACCCTCAACCTTCTTCTGATTCCTCCTGCTGCAACTCCGCCCAAGGTCTTCCTGCCGTTGATAGCTCCAATTGGGTTCCCGATCTCGGCTTCCCTGCTGGTAATGGTTACAATAATGAGTTTCTGGGTCCAGATTTCCGCGCCGAGTTAAACCCTTTTGCCATTGGGTGGACGGAGAAGAATAATCCCATTTCAGAAGCTCCTTCTATCTTTGTTCCGAACCCAGACCTAGGGAGGAAGAACCACGGCCGCGACGATGGGAATTCCTTTGAAGAAGAGCGGAGCAACAAGCAGTCGGCAGTTTCCCACGAGGAAGAGCCGGAGAACATCAAGATGCTAGACGAGATTTTGCTCTGTTCGTTAAAAGAGGACTGTAGTAATAATCCCAGCAGCCATCAGTTGGAGAAGAAGGGATCCAGCGCTAGCAACGGGAAGGGAGGCCGATCCAAGAAAGCGAACAATAAGAAAGGGGGAGTGGTGGATTTGTGGACTCTGCTAACTCAGTGCGCTCAGGCGGTTGCGAGCAGCGACCAGAGAACTACTAATGACCTATTGAAGCAGATTCGCCTCCATTCGTCTCCTTACGGGGACGGGAACCAGAGGATGGCTCATTACTTCGCCGCTGCCTTGGAGGCTCGCCTAGGAGGCACGGGAGCTCCCAAATATGCAGTAGATGTGAAAGCCAAGACGCCAATGGCTGAAATTTTGAAGGCTTATCAGATGTTCCTCAACTCTTGCCCTTTCAAGAGGATGTCCAACTTCTTCGCCAATCGAACCATCTACAACCTCGCCGAGAAGGCAACCAGGCTCCACATCATTGATTTCGGCATTCTCTATGGCTTCCAATGGCCGTGCCTCATCCAGCGCCTCTCAGAACGCCCCGATGGACCTCCCAAGTTGCGCATCACCGGGATCGACTTCCCCCAGCCAGGGTTCCGCCCCAAGGAGAGGGTGGAGGAGACGGGTCGACGGTTACAAAGGTACTGCGAGAGGTTCAACGTGCCCTTCGAGTACAAGGCCGTAGCGCAGAAATGGGAGACGATCAAGTACGAGGATCTCGAGATCGACCCCGACGAGATGACCGTGGTGAACTGCTTGTATCGAATGAGGAATCTCGCGGATGACACGGTGGCTGTGGACAGCGCGAGAGATGCGGTGCTGGGACTGATACACAAGGTGAACCCGCAGGTGTTCATCCATGGCATTGCGAATGGAAGCTACAACGCTCCATTCTTCACCACGAGGTTTCGCGAGGCACTGTTCCATTACTCGTCGTTGTTCGACATGTTTGATGCAACACTTCAGCGGGAAGACGAGCACAGGCTGCTCTTCGAGAGGGAGATGTATGGAAGGGATATAATGAACGTGGTGGCTTGCGAGGGAGCGGAGAGGCTGGAGAGGCCTGAGACTTACAAGCAGTGGCAGGCGAGGAACTTGAGAGCTGGGTTCAGGCAGCTGGCGCTGGATGAGACCATTTTGAAGAGGGTGAGAGGGACGGTGAAATCCGAGTATGATAAGGATTTTGGTGTGGATGAGGATGGTCGATGGATGTTGCAGGGTTGGAAGGGTAGGATTGTGTATGCACTTTCGGTGTGGAAGCCTGTTGATAAGGATTACTATTATTAGGTTGATGATTCTAGAGTTATGATATTAAGCTTGTTTTTTGTTGGGCATCTCTGCCCTTTCGTGTAGTAGAGAATGAATCTTTCTGTCTGAATTGTAGCTCGACCTTTCTGTTCTGGTTATAAATGGATAAGATGCCTTGTTATATTCTCTTATGAAATCCAAGCAAACTATGATGCTGCAAAGCAGAATGTAACACTACTTAAGATGAAGTAGAGCACTTGAAAAACATGGAAGCATAAGAATTTGATGAGTATCGTCTGCAACTGTTTCACTATCTTGAATCAATAGAACAAAGGGATGACGTGTGCTAATACAAGCTCGAGGCCAAGGCATTCAAGGATCCCACACTGACAAACAAAGAATTTCTAACACATTAATGATACAGCCACAAACAAGGATTCATCTTCACTTATTTTCAGTCTTTGCTCTCAGAACGGTGAAGTCCAGCTTTTGGCCCTTCTGCCGGAAAGAAGCGTTCTTGCTCTTCTTCCTTCTTGACTGGTCTCCACCATCAACGGCTTCTGCCACTGTGTTGATGGAGTTTTCTGTTTCAGAAACTGCATCAGGCTGTTTTCGTTTCTGGTCTCCACTTCCATGAGAATCGGGCATGGCCGTGTCAGAGCATTCTGCAACTTCTGGTGACAACCCATTTTCTCTACTAAAAGCAGAACAAAATACAGAACGCTATCAAAATCTACTCGGAACACCAAACACAACTAAAACTACAAGTGAACTATTAAGATGAGTGATCTAAATGAGTGCTTCCACTACCTTACAAGTGAAAAATAATAATAAGAAAGAGTGATCAAGGAAACAAATTGGAAACCAACCTTAGAGATGCATTTGCTGTTGTATGACCACCCGATGATGATGCTGGTTCTCGAGAAGTAAGGTTTGCTGTCTCTTCATTGAGTTTCTATCAAAAGAACAATGTTCAATACATGAGGTAGGCAGAAGAATCCTGAACTACTTTTTGGTTAACAGCGGATGAAAGGTTGAGGCCGTTCAGACCCTTTCTACTCACATCAACAGAAGGATTGAAACTTCCGAATGACATCCGGCCTATAGCTGCAGCAGGATGGGGATCGCCTTCCATTATCACCACACTGTACATGGTTAAAATGGAAAATACCAGAAATGTGTCAGACCCTCTCAATGTAGAGAATATGAGATAACACAGAAGACATTGCGGCAGTCACAAGTAGAAACATAAATCCCAATTAGGCTAACTCATCAAACTGTCGCATATCTTAAAACCAACCCCATCTTGTCTCGATGCATTTGATGAAGATGCAGAGAAACAAAAATGAAATTCCATAGTTAACCTCCAGCTAAATGCAGTGCTGGAATGAAGAAATGCACTCATCTTGCTCGGATTATAGGGATGCAGTACAACCAAAGAACGCAGTTCTTAAGGACAACTTGGAGATGGTGGCGCACTTTTGTGCAAAAACAACACCCAAAACAATCACTCATCAATTCAGTTCATCTAATTACTTAACTGGGTTCTCCTATATGTAGTTAATAATGAGCAAAGAAAAATCCAATAAGCAAAGGGCAAGCATCCTCAACCATTAGAGTAAGAACGGAGAACTCAAAACATAACCAACTAGAATAAGCTCCGGAGCCATACCACTTTCTAATACCTCCAGGTGAGACGAAATTACCATTCGGTTGAACCTCTTCTTGTTTCTCGGGTTTCACTTCTTTAGGGGCTCCCCTTTGCATGAACTATTATAGGAAACAGGAATGAGAGAAAAATTCACACAAGGAACTTTCACTTGAAAGACGAGCAATCAACAAGGTGAAGAACCCAGCTTCCAGAAGCACAATGCTAATCCAAGCAAAAACCATTTCAAAGCATTAGATATCTCCATTGATTCTCACCTTCAAGTTCTTGAGAGTGCTAGATATCTCGCGCTTCGCCATCTCCGTGCCCTTTTCTAAGCGAAAACCCAGCGAATCGCTAGAAATCCTCCTTTATCTCCTTACTCCGCCGACGGCTGCTTCCAGGCAGCGACTTTTGGGGCTGCAAGCTGCAACGCCACTTGTAAAAATTGGGAAATTGAAACGAAGGAGACGCTCTTTCCGTCAGAATTAGGGCTCCAAATTCTACAATCTAGACATTCCAAAAAAAAAAAAAATTCTACAATCTAAAATCCGATTCGGCAACGGACTGGGAAGTGGGAAAGTAAGCTATGACACTTCAAGCCTATTGGTGGACTAAGCCCAATTCTTATCGAACCAAAAGCCCAATGGGATAATCCGGGGGTGAAAATCGGACGGCTGTAAGTGAATCTCTTCTTTCGTTCCGATACACAGTTTCAGGTGGACACGGTCATAGCCAATACAGAATCCCTAAACCTATAAAAGCAAACGTAGAAGCAAGCAATCGCTCTTTTTCTTTCTCACTAGACCGACTGTACTTAGCCCGTTAGCCGTAGAGCTCGGTAGAAAGTCCTCCTTCAGTGCAAACCTTCCGCCGATACGGCTGCCGGAACCTAATCGATCCAGTTTTAGCTTGACCGGCGATCGCAGACGCTTAGCCTTTTCTTTGAAGTATTGAGAATGGACACTGAATTTTCTGGGTTTTGCTTTTCTTTGTTCCTGGCAGTGATTCATCTCTTGTTTCTTCAGGGATTTGTTGATGCTGCCTTAATACACATTGGTCGGTTTGAAGGTCTTCTGCGCTAGAGAGAGATGGTACGGCAATGACCAAGTTTATTCAGTTTTCATGTGCTGCCCTGTTTGCCAGAATTGTACATGAGCAATTTGATTGTGAATTGTGGTTCATGGGTCCTTCGCTTTAATGATCGGCAGTACTTACGCGTCATTGCTATTCGACCTGTCAAAATTGTGCAACGAATCTTGCTGCCCGATTGATTTCTCTTGTTGCTTTTCCCTGTTGTTTGGACCAATGCAGGATCGCCACCACCACCCTTCAAGTTCAACATTTGAACAGTACTATCGTTGTTACCCTGTCGCTTTTCTGGATAAGGGTTGGGAGAAAGTGTTTTAGCGTTACGATTGCTTCTTATTCTAGCCTGCAACTTTGTCTAAAATCGTTTGTAACATTTTGTAGCCGCATCTGGAGAAAGGAAACAAAGGTTTGGTAATCTGCTATTCTCAATTTCTATGACTAACATACATGGTTACCTCAGCTGCATTACAGATATTCTTTTAGTTTTGTAATGTCTTTGTTGTATCTGTTGCCTGCAGTTATCATGCCACCCTCGGCTCTTGAACGTCTTGGTAAGTTGGATATAATCAGATTTCTCCTTTGCTTTTCTATGATTTTGGTTACTACTATGAGCTGATTTGGTTTGGTATTGCTTGCAGCATCCCTTCATATTGACTACCCAATGCTCTTTGAACTCCATAACCCTTCTACTGAACGAGTCACACATTGTGGAGTTCTCGAATTCGTTGCAGAAGAGGGTTTGATCTATTTGCCATATTGGGTACACTTCTTTGCTATCTAATGCATAATTTTTTTTCCATCCTTCATTGTTACTTACAACTTAATTAACAGATGATGGAGAACATGCTCCTGCAAGAGGGAGATCTTGTGCAGCTGAGAAATGCCAGCCTGGAAAAGGGAACTTATGTCAAGCTGCAGCCACACTCCACAGAGTTCTTAGATGTCTCCAACCCCAAAGCAATGTTAGTGATTTCAGTTGTTTCCTATATCAGGATCCTTGGGACTACATTGCATATATTTTTTGGTACTTCACTTCATCTTTTTCACTCTGCAGTTTGGAGACTTCCTTGAGGAATTACTCTTGTTTGACGACCGGCGATACCATCTTGGTTGCATACAACAACAAGAAGTATTTCATCAATATAGTGGAGACAAAACCCTCTGCTGCAGTTAGCGTTGTGGAAACAGATTGTGAAGTAGACTTCGCTCCACCTCTTGATTATAAAGAACCTGAGAAACCGGCGCCGACTTCAAAGGCCAACAAGGCCCCACCTGAAGGTTTTTTCTCTACTATCCGTCATTTTTGTAGACTAGCTATGGTTTTCCCAACTAATCTAAATCATTGACACTGTAGTTCTAGAGGAGGAGCCAGCGTTAAAGAAGTTCAATGCATTTACTGGTTCGTCGAGACGACTTGATGGCAAACAGTTAGCAGAACCAGCTGTGAATTCTATTGTCGAACAATCTCAGAAAGAGGTCAAAGAAATCAGCAGTGACTCGAAGTCTTCTTCTGCGTCTGCTTCTGCTCAGCAGTCTGGGAAATTGGTCTTTGGTGCCAACAAAGCGCCTCCGAGATGAAACCACAAATGTAAGCATTTAGTTATCTTGCTTCTATATACGGTAAAGCATCCAAGTATACTCTTCCATACGAAGAGAGCCTTTCTGCTTACTTCCATTTTTGCTTGCAGATCCAGCAAAAGAAAAAAAGTCGAGAGCCAGAAAAAGGGGAGCAAGAACCAAAGTTCCATGCTTTCACTGGGAAGAAATATACGCTCAAGGACTAATTTGGAGTTGGCGATAGTTTTTAACCCATTAGCGTGATGTACAAATTTGTCCCATGTAAAAGCTGGCTCTTTTACAGTTCAGTTTTTCAGTATCTTTCCAGTAAATACTAAATACATCCAAGGTTCATTTAAGTTTAAAGAAGACAGACGTTGATGGCAACTTCTTGACATAATATAATTTTTGGATCACATTTCACCATATTATCTAATCATATTATAAAATAATAATCATAAGTTTGGATTTTACATAAGGTCCAACATGTACTGTATGCTAGCTTCTAAGAGCAATCATTCCTTACAGCTCAAGGAAAGTCAAGCCCTGAGGCTTGTCGACATATATATAAACTGCTAAAGACGAAAGATACAAATTACTAATAATTAATTAGGCTGCACTTCGTAAAATGAGGCAGCTGGTGCCTGGAAGGAATAAGGTGAATCCAGACTATGTACAAACAAAAGCCTAGGCCTGTACTTCTGTCTCAATAGCAACTTCTGTGGAGTACCTCATCCCCTCTGTTTTATCATTGGCTGCTGCATCCCACAGCTCTGGGAGTGCTTCCTTGATGTTGTGGATGCTCTCTAGCGCGTAATCCGCGCCTTCAGTTCGATCAGAAGTCCCAACCTGTGAACCAAAAGCACAAGCATCTAACTGAAGTAAGTAGCCAACCAAACACAGACTGATGTTGTTGTATAATAGCAGAAAGTTTCTGTCATTGCTTACCCTCACAGTGTGCAGTCCCATTCTTTTCCCTGTCTGGATGTTTCGAAGGCTGTCATCGAAAAACAACTGCAAGACAGTGAAAATGGGTAACTGAGTTGAGCCAACGTGCACAAAGAAGGTTATATAAGCAGGCGATGGAAAGAAAGTCAATGGTACCGTTCGATGAGGGTTGATGTTAGCAATCTTGAAGACCTCTTCGAAAGCTTCTTCGAAAGGTTTGCAGAGCACAGGTGTCTTGGGGAGAGATAAGCCAGCGTTAGGAGCAGCGCTGTACTCATTGATATCAAAGACTTCGGCTGATTCTTCATCTTCCACGGCATCATTCCCTTTGGTGGAGTCGTTCAAGGTCTCGAAGCACAGGATCTGTTCAAAGCAATCCTCCAATCCCAGCCTGCTCAGTACCTTATCTGCGTGAGCCTTGTCTGCGTTGGTGAACACCTGCAATTCAACAAACACCAATGTCATCATCAATCAACAAAACAGTATAGAGAACAGAGAAGTTAGGAAGGAAGAGGGAAGTTGGGAAAATAAAAATAGCCCATGAAAGCAAGCAAAAGCTTACCACTTTGCGGATGGGCAAGCTTTGTAAGAGACTCCTGAGGACTGGGTCTGGCTTCAAGGTATCATAAGGCAATCGTCCATGTACAAAGCTGCAACATCAACATGAAAATTATAGTCGGTATAAGACTACAACCTCTCTCTTTTTTGGAAAGAACAACAAACTAGGAAGAAACAAATTGGGGTAATGGGTACCTGTGGAAGTCGTCGTAATCGAATTTATAGCCAATTGCCTGCACAATAAGACAAACAGCAAAAGTGTCTCAACTTGGGATTATTATATGAGATTATTACACATACAATATAAGATATGGCAAAGCCAATTGTTAATCAATCAATTAAGACAGTATCATACTATAACGTTGTTTGTTTCTTTGTCAGAATCACTGGTACATACCCGTAAGCCAGCCATTGTGGTGCCATAGTATTTGTAGAGGGACAGGCACAATTCTTGGACCTTATTCTCCATGACGCCGAGCTTTTCAGTCATGTAATCTGGAGGGGGGAAAAGCACCATCCCAGCAATTCAGAGTTATTGAATCGAAATCATAGATTCTAGAACACGGTTTAAACGTTTTAATGTTGAAATCACCTTGAATGTTGAGGGCAACTTGTGGTGCCAGACCAGAACTCAATGGATAAAGTGTATCATCCACATCTGCACAACCCAGTTTCACCGTTTCAGTCTTTCAGACCAGGCAAGTAAAATCGTCAAACCCAAAAGAACAATAGTAATCAATGGACTCACCGAAAAGGAGGCAATCATATTTCTGGGTGAAACCGTTCTGCTGCTGTTCACCATTTTCGTTCTCCATTTCGTTTCTGCTATAGAAGGGGAGCAAAACAACTGCTGCAAGAACAAATCAAAAGGAACATGTAATCAATCCAATCAGGAAGAGCACATCATTACCAGGAAATGCAATGAAAAGGGAGAAGAGAAAATGGGCAACTTGTAATTCTAATCGTAGGGGAAGGAGACAGAGAAATGGAGAAGGGAAGAGGAAATGTGCGATGCTACCGGTTGATTTAAATACACACAAATTTTTTGGAAGATGGGAAACGCAAATTCTGGAGTTGGATCAAACAAAGGGAAAGACGTAGGTTCTAAGGCAGAGCATTGAAAGGGGAAGAGAGAAACCCAGTTAAAGCTTCAAACTTTGTAATGTCCCCGAGCAAGATGCAAATCGGGAATGGCGAACGAACACATTGACACCCTATTCCATTATTAGCAGAAGCGGGTGGGAAGGGCAAACAGAGAGGCGCCGGGGAGAAGAAGCATTCTCCAACGGAACACAACCACGAAAGAGAGGCACAAGTTATGGGAAATGCGAACAAGGAAACAAGAAAACAAGAAAAATCAAACCACATTACCGGAAATCAATGGGGGCAGAGAGTTGAACGAAAAATCAAGGCAAAGCGAATAGAACAGAGACGGAGAGAAAGTATGGAAATGGCAGAGAAGCCGCAACGCGCAATGAGAGGAGAGGGGTGGGATTTGGGAAGGTTTTAAATAGGGAGAAAAGAGAGGCAGTTGGTTTTTTTTTTTTTTTTTTACAATGGGGAAAGGCAAGGAGAGCGAGGCCCGAGGCAGGCAAAATTGAATGGAAATCAAATCATGTTAGTGAATGGTGGTCTACAAGGAAAATGAGAACTTCACTCTCGAATTCCAATTAATTTTATTGTTGGTATTCATATTTAAGTTTTGATTTTTTTGGAAGTTCTTACATACACATATAACACATATAGGTGTCAATCGGGCGGGTTCGGCCTGGATTCAATCTGGTTCGGGTTCAAACGGGTTGCGGGTTAGTAGGGTTGCTGGTTCATCGGGTTCGGGTTCAAACGGGTTGCGGGTTCAATTGGGTTGCAGGTAAATCGGGTTGCGGGTTCATCGGGTTTTGGATCGGGCGGGTTGCGGGCGGATCGGGTTACGGGTTGTTCGGGTCAGCACATCGAGTAACTTACTCATTACTCGTTACCAACAGTGGCGGAGGGAGAGGGTAACAGGGTGGGTCCCGGGACCCACCCTGGTTCGGGGGAAAATGGTTAAATTAGATACGATAGTTAATTGATATCGAAAACTAGGTCGCGTTTAATTAAGAATAGTTGGTCGAAAAGTTGTGTTTCAATCTCGGCGGCCTCATTTCTTAAGCATACGGTATACAGATTTGTGCAAACATCAATTTCGTATAAGTTGACTTTCTTATAAGGGAGCATGGTAGTAAATGGTATAATATATTATTGAAATCTTCCAACGACTCGATTTACTGATACTAAATATTTTTTTTAAGAACATCATTCGAAAGCGAACGACTAGGTAAATCATGAATTATTGGTTGGTATAAGATTTATTATTAAACCTCTATCAACAATTCGAGGTATTGATACTAACGGTTCTTAACAAAGAACACCATTTGAAACACTACGACTAACTAAATCAATGATTGTTTGATATATATGCAGAGTGATATTCTTGATATTTTCGACTCCTAATGCATTTTAATTTATCAAAAGTTTTCAACGTAAGATTATATTAAAAAAACTATTTTATCATATTTATTTTTTTCGAGGTGGACCCACCTTAAACGAAATCCTGGCTACGCCACTAGTTACCAACTTACACATTTTATTACACTAATTTAAAATAATTTTCTCAACTTTTAAACCAATTTATTTCTACCTCGTATATATATACTTAATTTTTTTGAAAAAAAACTAGTCAAAATGTTAAATCAATTTGTATGACTTGCAAACTTGTTATGTAATTAATCATAATTGGTAAAGTACACTAGCTAATAGTAATGCTGATATCAATATTTGCAACCAAAAGACACCATTAATTGTTTATTTGATATTTTAGTATTATTTTAATAGTAATTGGATTAAAGTATCTCGTTTAGTATAACCATGCAAATCTAGTGTTTGGCGTGTGGTATTTGGCAAAAAACAGAGTGATAAAAGGAGTTATTTCGAAATAACTCATTGGCCAAATAACTTCAGTAAACTGTTGCCAAACGAGTTATTTGTAAAATTATTCGAATTATCCTAAAAATTGAACCATTAAAGATTAACTATCAAATTTAGTAAAATTATTGTGACTTCAATCATAACTTACTTAATAACATATATCATATACACTTAGCCTTACCCTCAATCGACAATATTAAGTTAGTATATGTTGTTGATTGTATACCCTAAGGCCTAAACCATCAATACATTATACACTGACCACATACCCTATACTCTAACCATATGTCCTTATGAGTTGTGATTTTGCTAGTATAGTTAATTTAAAAGTGAAATTCATACTTTGATTTTCAAAACATAGATAAAAGTGATATTTGCTAATTGCTATACCCTAACCATCTATCCTATACTCTACACCACATATCTTGTACCCGAACCACATACCATAAACATAAATTAAAAGGGATTTCCTGCCGTTAAAGACTTCAAATGACTTCAAGTGAACATATGTTAATAAAAAAAATGATAACCGTCAAAACCATCAAATATTTTATATGCTAACCATATACACCCTAAACCATCTGTACCTTATACCCTATACTCTAACCATATACTTTATACCCTAAACAACGAACCGTCAAAAATTACTTATCAAGTTTAGTTTAATTGTTGTAACTAATGGTTAATTTATTTATTAGTCCATAAACAATTACATACATATATATTAGCCTTCAAAGCATATAAGAATAAATTTAACTAGTCATGCCCTCCATATAAAAATTAAAGATTCATATTTCAAAGGCTAAAATTTTGAAAAACAAAAAAAACTGAAAACACCAAATTTGTTTCCTTCTTTCTTTTCACAAAAATAAAAAATTTCTCTTTTTCTTTCTCCTTCCATAAATTAGAAACACTCAATTTTTCCTCTTCTTTCTCTTCCATAAAATTGAAAGAACCAAATTTCATTCTCCCTTCCTTCCACATTAAGTTGAAAACTCAAAATTTCCCTCCTTATTTCTCTTTCATAATCAAAAGAACCAAACTTTCCCACTTCTTTCTCTTCACACAAATCAAAACCACCAAAATTCTCACTTCTTTCTCTTCACACAAATCAAAACCACCAAAATTCTCACTTGTTTCTTTTCTAAAAAATTCAAAGAACCAAATTTCCCTCTTCTTTCTCTTCCCAAAAAGTTGAATACACCAAAATTTCCTTCTTCTTTTAAAAATATCAAATTACCAAATACATTGTTTTACTTTATTTACATTTAATTGATAATTTTATAAAATAGTTAAATTAACCAAAATTTTAATTTATATATTATATTAATATTGTCCATGAACTCAATTATTAATTCTTCATTATTAATATTGACATTATGTTGATTTTATATTTTATATTTTATATTTTCTTTTTTAATTTTGTTAAAGAACTTAGTGTTCAAGAGACATTCATGTTTCAATTTTTGTAATTTTCTTAAAATACATAATATCAAGTGAGTTTTGTATTTTTTAAATTCCCGATACGAAATGCAAAAATAATTTTACTTAAGTTTAGAATGAAAAACTTTATTTTGAAAAACTATGTATTGTATATTATAATAATTATTCAAGTGAATTAGGTGAAGTTCGGGTTGAGTCGGTCGGGTTATGGGTTAGTCGGGTTCGGGTTAATCGAGTTCGGGTTAATCAGGTTGCGATTCAGTCGGGTTGCGAGTCAATTGGGTTGGGGTTAATCAGGTTGCGGCTCAATCGGGTTGCGCGTTAGTTGGGTTGCGGGTCAATTGAGTTGCGGGTCGGGCGGATTACGGGTTGTTGACTTTTAGTCAATTCGGATTGCGATCGGGTTGCGGGTCGGGTTGATCGAGCGGGTTAATCGGGTCGGGCTATATTTTGACACCTGATACACATAAAGTACAAATCCCTTCCGGTAGAGTCACATGTTGACTCTCGAACCATAGTCCTGTCTATTAGTTTTATATGTATGAATCGCGAATTCGGTGTCTAGTCAATCTTTGATAATTTTGTCATCATCTAATTGTTTTCGAATGGATCTATTCAACGATGTAAAATCGAAAATGCAATAAAAGAATCGATCCATCGTGGTAACCCATGATATAAGAATTTCCTTTCTCGTGTGTATGTTTCAACTCACCCCTCATAATCACCCTATACACCCGACAGATCTTCTCCTATTGCCCTCTCTTTCTTGGCGCCTTACACCAACATGCAATAAAAAAAAAAAGGATTAATAACACAGACTGCCCTCTACAAATTCACAAATTTGTCCATCATGCTATAATTCAGATTAAGCTTACCATCCTACTATAACCAGAGTATCAATTAGAATTCTTATCCTGATTCGATCAACCGTACCACAACAACGTGGGAGAGGAATTTCCAAAATTCCCGCTTCCAAGTAGGGTTGTTTAAATGGTTAACATGGTAATTATCAAACCAAACAAGCCTAAATTCTATTAACCATGTAATACAATATCATAATCAAACCGTCCAAACTAATACAACAACCAAATTAACCAAACTAAAGTTTAATCGGGTTGGTTAATTGGTAAACCAGATTAACCAATATAGTATTGATTCGGGCTCAAATGTACACATTTTACCCCTCATTTCTTATTCGTTTAGCTAAGTATTTCATCATTCCTCGACATATTTCACGCTAGGTTGTGCTTGTTTTGATACATTTCAGGTCCTAGCACGTGTGGAAGGGTCGAGAACGCGTTTTGAGATAATTGGAGGTCAAAAAGCGCAAAAACCGAAGAAAAGTCCGACGTGTGGTCGCTAGACCGTGACAATTGCCCCGTAACAGTGAAGTGAAGGCGTCCAGGAAACAGCCGCAGTTTACGATCGCACAAGGCAGTTCACGGTCTGCTAAGACCATGAAGAGGAGGCATGGGCCGTGAACATCAAGGCGTCCAGGGCACTTACCGAAGTTTCTGACGCCTGGCAAGTTCACGGTCTCTATGACCGTGAACTGGGGCTATTGACCGTGAACCCAGGAGAGTGAAGCAGTGCGTTTTGGACGACACTGAGTTCATGGATACGTTTAGGTGTTCACGGCCGTGAACTGGTCACTTTCGGGCAAATATGAAGACAACAACGGGGAGGGGGGGGGGGAGCT